AGCCAGCACGAATCCACTACGATTGGGGCCGTGCCAACTGCATGTCTTTTGTAGAGCAAGTTTACCCATCTGACAATCGCAGGAAGCGTGTGAGACACTTGACAAACTGCTGATGCCTCACAGAGCTTGACATTTGGGGACCTGGACATGAGAGGCTTGTTTGAACGAGAGTGAATAAGAGCTGTGGGACAGTTACATTACAAGGCAAATGCAGGCCGGCGCAACAGTGATATCCAGCGCTTGCTCCAATGTTTATTGATTAGTAAGCTAACGTTACCTTCAAAGATCTATAAAGTACCTAAAATGCATCACATCAGAACCCTTTTCTAGTCAATGATTTTTAGCTGCTTGAATGATATTAGTGAAAATGGAACTTATTGGAAGGGCAATTGTGGCAAAGTTGGGAGTAACAGCTATTGAATTAAAGAACTGATCGCATAAGGTGGGATGTAGGTGAGTGTCTATGTTCCTGGTAGAGGAAAGATGCCATGCTCCTCAAATTAAACTACAGATTTGCAGCTTAATAGGGTTTTAACAAAATAAAAGGATAAAGTGATTCCAAATTTACCTGGAAAATAAAATGTGAGACACCAAACAAAAATATTTGAAACAGGAGAATAAGAGCTCATGTTTCTAGATATCAAAATTTATTCCAAAACAATAACAAGGTGCAGAAATGCTCAATGAATGAAAACAGTCAAAGCAAATTTATGCTTGTGGGACTTAGTATATAGTAAAGGTTGTACTTCAAAGTAGTTTTAAAAACGTTATTCAAAAATTGGCATTGAGCAAATTGTATGTGAAAACAAACAAAGTAAAACTTACTTCATTTCATATGTAAAAAACTCCAGATTGGTGAAATACATGAAAGTAAAAATCTAAAAGTGCTCAGAAAATAAAATAATATTTTTATTCCTTTAGCATAAGAAAGGTCTTGCTAAGTGAAACACAAAATCATAAGCAATAATTGAAGATGATCAGATACGATAAAACAAATTAGAAAATAGGAAACACACTAGAGAAAAATAATTACAGCATTTAATAAGCACATTATTATTCAGCCTTGTATGATAAAGATATCTCTTTTTTGTCGCACCAGCCTTCTCAAAGTAAACCAACTCTTCCATGTAGAGAGGAACTAAAAAAGAAAAGAACTGATCCTTTGCCCACAGTAAGGGAGAAACATTGGCAGGGCAAGCACGAGATGGCTTCAGGTAAATTCTGCTAAGGTGCCCTTTCCAAGGAGCTCGGTACCCAGCGGGAAGACATCCCACCCCAACCCCTACCCTAGCCCCGCCCAGCTCTGAACCGTCACAGCACCTGCGAGGGGCCCACTGGAGGATGGTCCGGACGTCTGTGTTTCTAAGAATTTTATAGGGTGATAATTTTTCCTTTTGTTTTGCATTTGCTTTACTTTAACTGTGATCTGTTTGTGGGGTAAGCTGGGGCAGTGGTGGCAAAACCACGGCACGCATACCGCAGCAGACACATGCAGCCCTCTCTGCGGGCACACGAGCCACGTCGCCCCCGCAGCCCAGCATCAGATACCAGTGAGCTTTTCCAAAACCCACACCTCGGTATTCAGGCTTAACTGCAGTGTTAGCACTTTGGGATAAGTAAGTGGGGCTTAGGTTACAGTTTGGGCACTTGGTCTCTAAAAGCTTCACTATCTTGAACTAAGGGAATGCTTACAGGGAAAACGACAGCACAAAATTCCTATTTTAGTAAAGAGAAAAGGTCTCAAATCCATGGCCTCGGCTTCCATCTTAATAAACCAGAACAACAGGACAAACTAAACACACTGTAAACAGGAGAAAGCAAATCATGCAACTAAGAGCAGAAATCAATGAGATGGAAAGCAAAAGAGGAAAAAAAAATCAATGGAACCAAAAGCCGAATCTCTGAAATCAGTTAAAGTGATGCCACTCTGCCAGACTGGTCAAGAAAAACAGAGAGAACACAAACCACCAGTACTGAGGGTGCAAAACAACACCAGCACACGACCCACACGTCTAAAAGGAACGGGAAGGGAAGATGATGAACAATTTAGTAATGATAGACAACTTAGATAAACCAAACTCCCTGAAAGACACAAACAACCAAAAGAAACAAATAAACCAAATACCTGTACTTCTGTAAAAGAAACTGACGGTGTATTTAAAAAAAAAAAAAAAAAACTCCCACCAAGCAGGGTATGGATGCAGATGCCTTCTTCTTACTAGGCATTTAAGGAAGAAATAGTACCAGTTCTTCATGAGATCGTCCATCAAATAGATGAGTAGGGAATAATTCCTAACTTAGTCCGTGAGACTAGCATGACCCCGGTGCCAATTCATGCAAGGATAGACTAGGAAAACAACCCATCAGTAACCTTCGCCAACATAAAGGAGGAGCAGGGTGTTTCCCTCTCTCCCATGCTTGCCTATCACAGTAGCACACACGACAGCAATTCATCATTTATGTTAGAGCAAGGGGAGAAATGCTTCACTTTGTTTTTGTGTGGGAGAAGAGGGTGCATAATTTCTTATGGATTTTGTGCAAGTTGGAGCTAAGCAAGGGCTGAAAAAGTGCAGAGTTAATGCAAGGCTATCGCTTTTTAAAAAAACAAAACAGGCAAATTTCCAATGCTTGGTGGTAACGATTTGGAGACTGTGTAATATACTTCGGTTCCTCATTCCCGAGGTTAGGGAGGATAACTTCCCTTTTCCATCAGATCAGGTTTGGAGAAATGAATCAAAGGGCGATGTCCGAACACATCCTGCTCCAGGTGGGTCTCCCTCCCCCTTCCAGGTTCATAGCAAGGGCAGCCACAGCTCAGGACAGCAGAGTCCTGCAAGGAGACTCCACTCCAATAAATATCACAACAGTGATGTTTGCCTCTGTGTGTTGGGGTGAGAGAGGGGGTGACTCATGTCTGCTGGAGGCAAGTTTCAGGGCAGACTGGACCTCCCTCTTCCTCTGTGTCATGTAGGACTTTGCAGCCACAGCGATGGGGAATAGTATGGCACTGGAGCTGCAGAGACTGAGGACAACACCGGCGGGTTCCACACCATGGGACGTCCAAGGAAGATGAAGCCACATGAAGATTACACATCAGAACCCAGCCTTCCTCCTGTTCCTGTCAGATGCAGATTCTGATCATAGAAAAGGCATAAAGGATGGAGCTGGAGAAAATGTGGTCAACTAGGCCCTTAAAAGCATGTCTGAGAACTGACTTCTTTGAATGAGAATTCATCCTATCTCCCTGGTGTTCACCAGATATGGATCCCAAGGGTCCAAGGGTCAGAAAAGTCCTTGTTCCCTCTGAGTTACCATCCAGGACCCTACAGATCCCTGACATGCTAACTCGTTCATACTTCCTTGGATCCACTAGCTTATATTCCAGGGGTTGTGTTCATCTCTGTGTTCTTAGCACCTGACCTGGAATGGCTGTTCCCTGAAGATACAGGGACTTACGACACACACACCTTAGCTGATTTATTTGCGAGGACGCACTCCAGGAACTGACTACATCACCCCAGTTATCTATTGAGTATCTGTCTGTCTCACAAAGCCACGAAATTCTTGAGGGAAGAGAAGAATCTGCATCTGACTGATTTCTGGACATCTGTGTCATCTGTATTCAGAACCACACCTGACACCATGTGCTGAGTGACTGTAGGAAGGCGAGCCCCCTGCTTCTGACAGCAGCTGAGTTGCTTGGCTAAGTTCCTAAATCAGGAGCCTCTGAAGTTACCGTTCATGCTGTGGGTCCCACACATTATCATGTATCTGAATCACCCAGGGGCCCAGGTTCTGTGGAGTGGGATAGAGCCTGGGCCTCTGGAGTTTAGCCCAGTGCCCCAGCGATGCTGGTACCCGCCAAGACTGAAGAAGCCCTGCTTGAGTGAAGCATTTCTCAACTCTTGCGTTCTGTCCCATCCTCCCGAGAGACGATGCCATCCAGCAGGCTGGAGTAAAGAAGGGAATGCTACTTGCAGGAGACAGGCTCTTAGCCCATCGTGGTTCTGCCACCGGCAGCGCCAGCTGGAAAGCTCTCATGGCTCCCTGGATCAACCAATAGCTTGTTAACGTGCTTAGCTGCAAGTTTTGAGCTGGCGGTGCAGTTCGGTGGTAGAGCGCTTTCTTCATATGTGCAAGGCCCTGGCTTCCATTCCCAGTGCCACAAAAACTAAAGTAAACTAAACTAAAATGCCAGTCTCCCATCAGCTTCCCAAGATACGCATGGAATTCCAAAAGTTTGAGAAACATTAATTTAACAGCCCCAACCTGGGGACTCAAGCATCTCTCTAACCACAAACTCCTGCACGTCCGGGAAGAGGCCCAGCCCCTCCCCTGCTACCACTGACTCAGAGAAACAGGGGAAGTGGAACTGGGATCTGCTGAGCTCAGCTACCACCAATTGACGGCTGAGGTTGCCTCTGTGTGTGTGTGTGTGTGTGTGTATGTGTGTGTGTGTGTTTTACTCCTGTCAGAGCACCATTGGGTCAAAGTGTGCAAAGAACACAGTCGTACAGGCTGAACAAAAAGTCAAAGTTAGCTGGATGTGGTGGTTCATGCCTTTAATTCCAGCACTCTAGGAGGCCGAGGCAAACCGATCACAAGTTTGAGCTGAGCCTGGGGAAGTTAGTGACTTAGTAAGAGCCTATCTCCAAGTTTAAGACAAACAAAAAAGTAAAAAGAAATGGGGATATAGTTCAGTGCAAACACCCTGGGTTCCATCCCCAGTATCAACAAAAACAAAAATAAACAAGTTCCAAAAGAAGCTGAAAAAATATTTGCACTGACCCGAAACTGTTGTTTGCAGCAAGGATCACGGCCCGGGGAAGGCTTTCTGCCCTGTTGCTATTTGAGCGTCTAGGTGGCACCTGACATCACACTAGGTGCCAGGAATACGGAGCCGAGCACTTCTGTGCCCCCTGTTCCCCCGCCCACGCCCTCTCACCCCCGGTTCACACTGCCCGTTGCGCCTGAATAAACATCTTGAAAGGCAGATTCCTTGACACTCGTCTGCGCTGCCCCTCCCGTGCCACCAACCTTCTCTCTTCCCCGCCTCCTCCTCCCGAGTTTTCCACGTAGCCTGCCGATCCCACACCTCATCCTTCAGGGTGGGGATTACGAAGGGGCCTGAGCGCCTGTATTTCCACCAAGCTCCTTGACTGGGGCTGATTCCTGGCCTGATGAGAGCCGTTCGCGAACAGTCAGAGGTTCGCGCCCTGTGCTCTGGACACGCGCCGTGTGGCCTGCCTCCTAGAAAGGCAATGAGGGAAGGCGCGTGGTGTGTTACTCGGCAGAACGTTGACGCCAGCACGGGTGAGTGACTTTTTATTATTATGGTGAAATATATCTGACTTGAAATTGACCATTTTAACCACTGTTTTCACTTTTTTGACTTTAGAGAAAAGAAATAGAAACACTAAAAACAATGGCATAAAATTTCAAAACAAGATTGTAGGAGAGTAACAGTGGTTAGTACATTGACTATTGCTACCATCAAAGTAGTTGCTCATATTACAAGATATAGGCATGAAAATTGCTCAGACAATATAGGCATGAACTTTCTTTTCAATGGACTAATAGCAATTAGTAGTATAATTATTTTAACTACATATATATATATATATAGAGAGAGAGAGAGGGAGAGAGAGAGAGAGAGAGAGATCTGTGTATTTTTTTCCCTTTTCCCTTCCTTCTTTTCTCCTTTCCCCCATTCCAGTTTCTCTTTCCTTTTGAGCAGTTTCTTCCCACTTTCCAATATCTATTGTATGTTTTAGGTCTTATTTACTCTTTCGGGTTCTTACACTAGGGAGATGATACAGGGTTTGCACATGTGAGTCTGATTTGCTTCACTTATGAGAATGGCCTCAGGTTGAATCCATTTCCCTATAAATGTCTCAAGTTTATCATTCTTTATAGCTGAGTAGTACTCCATTGTATAAAAATACCACACCTTTTTTTATCCATCCCTCAGTTGATGGCATTTGGGTTGTTTACAACATTTAACTATGACACACTGTGCTGCTATAAACATCTGTGCACATATATTGCTGTGCTATGATGTTTTTAATTCTTCTGGGAAAATACACAGAAGGGGAATGGCTAGGTTGAATGGGACCTTTAATCCTAGTTTTTTGAAGAATCTCCACACTGATATCCCTAGTGGTTGCACCAATCTGCATTCCCACCAGCAGTGAAGAAGGATTCATTTTTCCCCACAGCCCCTCCAGCACTTGTTATTGGTTGATTTCTTGATGATAACCATTCTTACTGGGATGAAATGGAATCTCAGTGTTGTTTTAATTTGCATCCCTCTGTTGACCAATGTGTTGTGCTGGACATTTTTTCATGTATTTATTTGCTGTTTGTATTTCTTCATCTGAGAAGTATATGTTCATCTCAGGTGCCCATTTTTAGATTGGGTCTTTGAATTTAGGGGTGGTCTGATTTTTTTCAATTCTTTGTGTGTTCTAGATATCAGCCCTTTGTCTAAGAGACAGTTGGCTAAAGTGTTTTCCCATTCTGTGGATTATTTTTTCACTCTGTTAATGATTTCTTTTATGTGCAAAAACTTTTTAATAAGACAAGATCCCAGTTGTTGATTCTTTTTGAAGTGTTTCTTGTGCAGTTGCGGTTTTGCTCATAAAGTCTCTGCCTACCCCTATGTCTTCAAGATTTTTACCTACTTTCTCTTTCAGATTGAGTATTTCTGTTTTAATATTTAGCTCTTTGATCCATTTTGACTTTAGTTTAGCGCATGGTGATAGACATGGGTCTAGGCGGCACAGCAGATGAGCAGTGGGAAGGGAGAAAAACCTCCTCTGTATGTACAGCCACCCCCATGGCTTGCATCCAAGCCCTAGCTACACCTGCCTTTGGACCAGCAGCATGAGATTCTTATAGGAACTCAAACCCTTCCATGAACAGCACAGGTGAGGGACCTAGAGTGTACATTCCCTATGAAAACCTAATCCCAAAGCCATTCCTCTCCCTTGCACCAGCTGTGGCAAAACTGTCTTCCAAAAAACTAGTCTATGATGCCAAAGATTTGGAGGATGGCTGTCCTAAGCACTGTGAATAAGTGGAATTTTACAGTATTTGTCTAGTGCACATTTTGTGACTGGTTTCTTTTACTTAGCATGACACCCTTAAGGTCCATTCATATTGGGGCATGTGACGGAACTCCTTTTATTTTTAAGGCTGAGTAATACTTGAATGTATGGATGCTTCTTGACTCTTGATGGGTTACATTGAAATAAACCATCATAAGTTGAAAATATTGTAAGCTGCAATACATTTATGACAACTCACCTACCAACCATCATGGCTTCACAACACAGTATCCAGATAGTGCCAGGAATTCGCCCTCAGGATTGCTGACTCGGGACCTCTGTTCAGCAGCATGAGAGAGAAAGTGGCATGCCACATATCACTAGCCCAGGATTTTGCATCATGCTAAGTTGGAAATGTCTGTGCACACAATTTCCATTTCCATTCATCTATGGACAGAGATTGAGTTGCTTCCATCTTTTGGCTCTTGTGAACAATACCGCTATGAAGACAGGTGTACCAACATCTTTTTGAGTGTTACTTTTAACCCTTAGGTTATAGGGATCATATGGTAATTTGATGTTTAATTTTTTGAAAAACTGTCATCTGTCTTCCACAGCTGCTGCAGCAATGAATAAGGGTTCCAATTTCTCCACATCATTGCCAACATTTATTATTTTCTTCCTTCCATTTTCCTTCCTCCTTTTCCCTTTCTTTCAAGACAGCTATCTTCAAAATTGTGAAGTGGTATCTCATGGAGGCTTTGATTTGCAATGATTAGTGATGTTATAAGCACATTTTCATGTGCAGTTTTGGTCATGTTCTTCTTTGGAGAGATGTCCGGTCAAGTCCTTTGCCCATTCTGAGTCAAGTTGTTCCTTACTGTTGTTGTTGCAGTGTAGGAGGTCTTTATATATGCTAGATATTAATCCCCTGTCAGATAGATGGTTTGCAAATGTTTTCTTCCATTCCATAATTGCTTTTCCACACTTTTGATAGTGTCCTTTGGTGCAAAAAGTTTTCATTTTGATGAAGTATAATTTGTCTATTTTCATTTGTGGCCTGTTTTTGATGTCATATCTAAGAAATCACTGCCAGCTCCAGTATCATAAAGCTTTCCCCTATGCTCTTTTCTAAGAGATTTGTAATTTTAGCTGTTATGTTTAGACCTTGGGTCCTTTTGAGTTAATTTCTCTATATGGTTTACAGTAAGAGTTGAATTTCATTTTTTTAAAAATATGGCTGCCCAGTGTCCCTAACACCAGGAAAATCTTAGCCAGGCACAGTGGCACACTCTTGTAATCCCAGCTTCTCCAGAGGCTGAGGCAGGAGGATTGCAAGTTTGAGGCCAGCTTGAGAAACTTAGTGAGACCTGTCTCAAAATAGAAACCTTAAGTCAGGGGGATGCTAAGGATGTAGCACAATGGTAGAGCAACCCCGAGTTTGATCCCTAGTATGGAAAAGGAAAAGGGGAGAGGGAGGGAGGAGAGAGAGGGAGAGGGGAGAAATCTTTTGCCATACATGTGAAGGTTCATTTTCTTTGGAGATTCTAAATCTACTCCATTGGTCCCTTTGTCCACATTTATGCCCGGGCCACTCTATCACCACTTTGTAGGAAGTCTTGAAATCAGGAACTGAGAGTCTTCCAAATATGTTCTTTTACAAGATTGTTTTGACTGGACGAGGTCCCTTGAGATTCCATATGAATTTTAGGTGAGACTTGCCTATTTCTGCCCCAAAAAAGATATTATTGGGATTCTACATGGATGACACTGAATCTGTAGATTGCTTGGGAAGAATTGACATCTTAACACTAGGTCTTCCAGCCCAAAAACAAAGAGGCTTTCCATTTATTTGTGTCTTCCATTTTATCCAGCAACTTTCACAGTTTTGAATCTTTTACTTCCTCCATGAAGTTTATTCTTTCTGGTGCTATTACACTTTGGATTTTTTAAAGTTTCCTTTTGGGACTGTGCATTGTTAGTATATGGAAAGGCCAGCTCATGCTTGTGTGCTGATTACACATCCAGCGACTTTGTTAAATTATCTTTTGTGACATCTATATAAAAGAGTATGTCATCTGCAAACAGAGATCTTCTAGCTTCAGAAACTTTTATTTCATGTTCTCACCTACTTGTCCTGGCCAGTATTCCCAGTGCTATTTTGAATACTACTAGTGACAGTGGGCATTCTTGTCTCATTCCTGATCTTAAAGGAAAAGCTTTCTGTCCTTCATGAAAGGAAATAAGTTTTAATATATTCTCTTTTTTAATTTTTATTTTTATTAGTGCATGTTTGCAGCACATAAGATCACATTCCTCACGGGGAGTTGGCTCATGGACCTCACACATCTTGACCCTTTTCTCCCCTCCACCCTTCATCTCCTGGTCCCCTTCCCTTTTGCAAATGATCTATCCCCGCCCATTTCCCTTTACCTATCTTTTATTTTGCTCTTTATTTACATTTTAAGTTTCTCATGCAAGAGAAACCATGTTATGTTTAAGCTTGTCTGTTTAAGTTAAAGAAATTCAGAAGTTTGGAAGGAGGAGACTATTTCACTAACCTAATTAACAACATGGCTGAGAGATCAGAAAGGAAATAGAGGAGATGACAAACATCTGGCAGGTATATTGCGCATGTAGGCATGCCACATATTCTTTTAACTTTCCACAGGTCTTAAAACGGCAAAAGAAAGATGGAAAAATGAACCAAGGTGTAGGAGAAATGAAATACCCTAGTCAACACTGACATTATTGAGTGAAATGACTTTTCCTTTACTCCAATTAAAGACTTCCTGAATATTATGGTTTAGGTTTAAATGTCCCCCCAAAGCCTCATGCGGTCATAGCTGGAGCTTTTTCAGGAGTGGAAGAATCTAGAATGCCTCACAATGGAATTAAGAGCGGGTGATTACTAAATCAGTCCACTGATTAGTTTGGCACTGCCCTAATCCCGGTAGCTTGGATACAACATACGGGACAGAAAGAGGCTTGTCTTCTCCGTTTCTTGCTTGCTTTTTCTGTCTCCTGCTTGCATGAACTGGTTCTCCTCTATGGTACCTTTCCACCACACCACCCTGCCTTGGAGCCAGCCAATTATGGACTGAAACCTCTACAAACTATGAGCTAAATGAACATTTCCTCTCTTAACTTGGATGCTGGGTGTTTGGTCTCAGCAATGAGACAAGTAACTAAACCACCAAGAAAACTCAATCAAGATGATACACAATACCAGTATCTAGCACCTCAAACCAGATGCCTGGAGAGAGAATGAAGGAAGAGTCTGGGGCCCATCTGTGCCTCTCTGCAGGAAGCCCTCCCTCTGGGGTCCTGGCCCCTAAAGAACTGTGCCAAAGTTCTATACTATGCCACATCTGTTGAAAGATAGAAAGTTGGTCTAAAAATACATGAGCAGGAACTGAAACATTTCAGAGAAGACAGGGCTAGCAAGTAAGAAACCAAAAGAGGAAGATAAAATTATAGTTATCAAAAAAAAGAGGAATGGAAATTGAATTGGTTTACAAAGAAAGTCCAGAATCTTCCCTCTCTTTCCATCTATACCATCAAGAATGGGCAGAGGGGGCTGGGCAGTGGGAAGAAGCTCCCAGAGAGAGAATTCTCTGCACTTTTCCCATTGAGAAGTCAAGCAGCCTGCACTGGTGAAGAGTAGAGTAATTTCTTCACTCAACATGTGTTACAGATGAAAAGGATTTTTTTTTTTAAATCCCCTTGTTCCTTCCTTCATCTCCAAGAGGAACACAGACTGCCAGGGCTCTGGATTTCTCTTGAGCTCAGAAAGCTAACTGCAGTCAGAGACTGGGCTGCAAAAGTCTCTTTCCAAAGCCTGCCCTGGGCTCTTTTCCTTGGGCTCTTATTTCAGGGGGATGGATTCCTTGCACTGAATTGGCAACACTCCCTGGCGCTTTGCTTAGTAACAGGTTTACATCTAAATCTGCAGCTTTCGGAGTAGAAGCACAAGCAGCAGCATGACTAGAATTCATCAGAAGTGCACATTCCCAGCCACTTCCGAGACCTGTGGAATCAGAAACCCTGAGGTCACAGTCTGGTCCTAACCAGCCCATCAACGAACTCTCCTGCACTATGGTGTAAGAACCACTGATCCAAGGAATAATGTTTTATTCATTGTGATAATATGAATCATAAATAATTGCACTTCACAGTTTACCAAAAGAGCTTTTGTCCTTTTTGGAGAATGGGTGGTATCCCCTTTTCTGTGGGTTCAAGGACGAAGTTTAAGAAAGGGAACTGACTGCTGGGCGGAAGGTGTGGAGAGAGAGGGGCCCAAACTACAACTGAGTCTCCTGCCTTGGAAGCCAACAGAGCCACAGCGAGGTGGATCACACCCAGGTAAAACGGCGTCAGTACGGTGTCCAGCCAGAGCATTCTTAGAAGCAGAGAATGCTGGGAATGTGTGTAGTTGTGCAGAAGAAGAAATAACACCAAACACTTCCATTCTCTAAGTCCTTATGGTCCTGTGGCAAGTAGGAAGCTGAGCCTTAGAGAAGCAAAGCTGCTGTGCAGGGTCGCTGGCTGGGCCTAGTAGAGCTGGGATCAGAACGTAGGCTGCCTGGTTTCAGGACCTGCCTGCCTAAGGAGGCCATGCGGATTGCAGTTGGTCATCCAGATCACCAGGGACAGCTCTGGGTCCCTACCCGATGCACTGCATTAAACACCTAGTGCCCTTTCACTGCAGAAAACTCTATTTCTCGAAACCAATGTTTTTGAAGTCTCAGTGTGCATCATCAACCGGACAGCTTCTTGGAACAGAGCACTCCACCCAAGAGTTTCTGATCCTGTCAGCTGGGGGGAGGCCCATGAATTTGCATTTTCAGCAAGGTTCCAAGCCACACAGCTACCGCCGGTCTCCGGACCCTTGAGTAGTCAAGCCCATGACAGCCTCACTGGAAGACTGAACAACTTGATGACAGATGAACAAGAACCAAACTCCTGAGTCTGACACCTCACTGCCACTGCTGACCAGCAGCATACACACAACCCTGTCCACTCTGCCTTGTGTCTGCCTTTCCCTTCTGCTGCGTGCTCTCTGGAAGCTTCAACACAGTTGCATTACAATGTCTGCTGCCCCCTCTATACAGTTTCTATACCTACCATCCACACCACCCACCATCCACACCGCCCAACATCTACACCGCCCGACATCTACACTGCCCGACATCTTCACTTCCCCTCCAATGTAAACATTTGCCTGATCAAAGCACCAATTCCTTAAAAACTTTCTGTTCCTCCCCACTGCCTTAAACTCCAACCAAATCATCCAGGGTCCTCTTCGACCTTCATGCATCAACCCAGCATTTTTGCCTCCTCCTCAGTGATGCCACCTTCTCTTCTTTAGGAGTCTTTGTCACGCCGTTTCCTCTCTCTCTTTCCCTCCCCAGATTTAACCCCTCTCAGGCTCATCTCAAGTGCTCTTTCTTGCTTCATGAAAACTCCCTTCAGGAGCGTCTTCCTCTCTGAGCTCTCCATGCACAGAAGCCTAGCCCTGGGCCATCGTCACACATTGCTTGGTAAGCTCATTCCTGCAGTTGCCGCATGTCATCTTGCCATGTTGTGCATCTTTGTGTTTCATTAGCAGAACCCCCAGCTCCTTAAGCTCTCCATCGACATTTGACAGGAAAATACATATATCCTTTTTTCCAGTCACATTTGTTCATGTTTTAAATTAACTCCCTCCTTCTTACTGACCTAAATTTTAAATAATGAAGGTCGCTGTGGAGCTGTTAACAAACATGGGAGGCAGTGTAGTGAACAGCCCTAAGGGCCAGTCAGTATGCTATGAAATACTCAGTCAGCCTGACTTTCAAGGCAGCTAAATCTTGGCCAAGTTAAGAAGTCAAGAGGAAAGCATGGTGACATATCATGACGAGCTCTCAGATGGTCACACTTTCTCCAGGGCCGCAGATAGTAAACTGGATCCCTATGACAGCTCTTTGTGAACAATGACTCCTAGTTGTCTTGGCAGTGAAGCAAGACGTAAGAGAGAAGTCTGAGATGATGTCCTTCCATCCTGGTGCTGAGAATCATGACTGGCATGTAGCCACTAAACGTATGGTTGAGAATACTTTACAGCATGGAGAAACCCATGCCTTGCTTAGTAGAAACACAAAGAAGTTCAGAAGCATATATAGGCTAGGACTGCAGTGCCACATAAACAGTACTAACCACAAAAACAAGCCTGCAGATAGAGGGAAAATTTAACAGATGGAAATAACCCAAGATAAGAATAAATGCTGGTTTGAGGTCACAAAATTGTGGAGGATTATGTTCCACTTTATTTTTATTTTCTTAGTGTTTGCTTTTTTTTTTTTTTTTTTTTTTTTTTGCTAACAAGTGCTTTTTTAAATTGAAGTGGATCCCCAAAACATAAAGTAAGCAATTCGGTGGCATTTAATTCATTCACAACATTGGGCAATACCTACCTCTATCTACTTCTGACATATTATCATCCCCCCCTGAAAAAAAGCCCCATATTCATTCAGCAGGTTCTCCCCCGGCTCCACTCCCCAACCCCACAATCACCTCCGCCTGTCCTGCTGCTGCTACGGATTTACCTGCGCTGGATATGCCATACAAATCGAGTGATACGGCCTGTGGCTATGTCTGGCTTCCTTCGCTTAAAGCAGCACGTAGCAGTGCTTCATTCCTTTTGTGCTCTTCCCCCCTCCTCGCCTTGGGTAGCTCCTCCTTGAATTCCTCCTCCCTGCAACCACCGACCTCTGCTCGGTACTGATAAGGTTGACGACCATGTTCTTACAGAGACCTGTGTCATTCTAGAATCTGCCTTCTTTCAAGGCTAAATTATAAAACTATCACTGAGTAAATGACTGCCTGTGACTCACTTCTATAACTTCTCTTGCCCTCCTTCCAGTTTTTCCCCAACTCCCTTTGACAAAAAATGTATAAAAATGAGAGCTTTTCTTTTGTTCAGGGCTCAGCCCTTTAGACCTGAGTCTGCTAAATTTGTGTACACTAAAATAAACAAATCCTCCTGTTTCTCCCCATCTCTCCAGACTCTTAATACTGCAGCAGTTGCACACACGGACCACAGCCTGCTTATCTATTTGATTACTCATTTTAAGTTCTTTGGGATATGCAAGAATCTCAGGGTTGTATAATAATTCTATGTTGAGGGTTTTTTTTGTTTTGTTTTGTTTTGTTTTGTTTTGTTTGTCTTTTTTGAGACAGGGTCTCATTATGCAGCTCAGGCTGGCCTTGAGCTCACTTTGTAGCCCAGGCTGGTCTCGAACTTACAACAATCCTCCTGCCTCGGCCTCCCGAGTGCTGGGATTACAGGCATGCGCCACCACGCCTGGCTTTATGTTGAGGTTTTTTAGGGGTTGCTAAACTATTTTCCTCATCTGTTCCACCATTTTATATTAGCAGCAAAGCAACAGAGTCCCAGTTTCTCCAGATCTTTGTCGATGCTTGTTATCTTTCTTTGTTACAAACAATACACCCATCCCTAGCAAGTGCAAAGTGTGTGTCCTTGTGGGCTTGATTGCATTTCCCTAATGACTAACTGACAAATGACACTGAGGACTTTTATCATGAACTTGGTCATTCTTCTTTGGAGAAATATTTTCCAAGTGTTTTGCCTATTTCTAAACCAAGTTGTCTTTGTTGTTGAGATGTAGACATTCTTTATATATTTTGGGTATTATTACTTTATCAGATATATGATTTGCAAATATTTTCTCTCATTCTGTAGATTACCTTTTCACTTTATTGATAATGTCCTTTGACGAGTAAAAGGGTTTTTTGTTTGTTTGTTTGTTTGTTTGTTTTTTGTCTTTTTGAGACAGCAGTTCAGGCTGGCTTTGATCTCACTTTGTAGCCCAGACTGGTGTCAAACTCCCACTGATCCTCCTGCCTCCCAGGTAAAATCTCTGTATCTTTTTTTTTCCCTTGGTACTAAGAATTCAAACTTGGGACCTTGTGCTTGCCAGGCAGGCACTTGTGCCACTGAGATATACCCCCAGCTCAAAGCTCATAGGTTGTATTTTGGTTTTTTGTTTGTTTGTTTTGGGGTGGGATTTTTTGGTAACAGGAATCAAACTTAGGACCTTGCTCTTGTTTTTATTTTTGATGTGTAAGTTATTGACTTTTTTCCTTTGGTTGCTTCTGTATTTGATATGATAGCTAAGGATTAATAGCTAAATCAAAGATTTTGAATGTTTATCTTTATACAGTCATGCCTCGCTATATCTCAGTTCACTTATTGCAGCTTCACTGTATCATGGATTTTTAAAAATATGTATCTAATTCTGTATCACAGAGTTTTCCCTATATTATGGGATCTTGCATTATATAAGTATTTATATAGTATTTATGATTTTAATTATTTTTGCCTAAAAAATTTAAAACTGTAAAAAATATAAAAAATGCTAATTCAAACATATTAAAAGAAAATTAAGTTGAAATAATATACTGTACAGTATGTATTTCATCAGCAGATGAATACCGTACTGTACGCAATGGAAATGCAGCACATCACTCCTACCAGCCCGAGCCCAGAAGAGCCTCTTGGCCTCATGAGTGGATGTGCACTGGGTGGGTGCTGCTTATAGATGAGGAGGGCACATGGCACCACCCCCGGGCCAGCACTACACACTACACACTGGCCTGGGCGGGGCAAGCAGTGTGGGCGGGGCAAGCAATGTGGGTGGGGCAAGCAGTGTGGGTGGGGCAAGCAGTGTGGGCCGGGTGCTGGGCTTGGCTGGGCTGTGGCTGCAGCTCAGCTGGGTCTTGTGTGCCCCACTCCCCAGCTCACTCCTGCCCTCCATCCCCACATGCCCCATCCTCCCCTCCTGCCCTTGGAGCGGAGAGGCCAATTCATCCAGGCATCCCCAGGCATCGCCCCAGCTGGCAGCCGACGCTTTGGGAAGAAGGGTCTCCCCGGGAAGGTGCATAGGAGTGTGGGAAGGGTTTATAAAGCCTTAAAATATATATAAATAATAAAATAAATGTAGTGCTCCTTGGCGGATTTTCACCTATCATGGGGGTCTCTGGAACAACTCCCGCAACAGGTGAGGGATCACTGTATTTTCTTCTACAAGTTGTGTCATCTTAGCTCTTATATTGAGGTCATGGGTCCAGCTGGCTAACTACCGTACATGATGTGAGCAAGAGGCCCACACTCTTCACTTTTTTGTATCCAGTTACACTGGAACAATTTGTTTTGTTTTGTTTTTGTTTAAGGAGTGTATTTTTTCTGATATTTACTTACACTGACACATAACCACACAAATTTACGGGGTACAATGTGTTGTTCTGACACCTATAAACATTGTCATGAGACAATTAGCATATCTACCACTTCCAACATTTGTCATTTCTTTGCAGCAAAACATCCAAAATCTTCTAGTGACTTTGAAATAACTATTTTTTTGCTACCTAAAGTCAACCTACTGGGCAAAACTTAAAGAAGTAAATCCCAGCACACAGCTTGACTCACAAAGAAAAAAATCTTTAACAGTTGAAATAGAATGTACTTTTGTAACAGACAGCTGGGTTTTGGCCAAACACAAATGGCTGAGCCTCAGCAGATCTCAGGCCCACAACAGATCAGACCATGTCCAGCTATGCAAAGGCTCCACTATAACTAACCAAGTTATTTCTCTACCTGATTTCTGTGTTCAGCTCCATAAGCACACCACCCTTGCTATGCAGTGGAGCTCTTTGAAGCTCCCATCCATTCTGAGTGCTGCTTGATTCATGAATGTTGGGAGCAGCTGAAGCTGGAGGGTCATTACACTGGTACCAGAAATGCGAAACTCCCAGAACCACATTCTTTTTCACTGAATTAGCAGGCATGTATATCTTGTTTCCTTTTAAACCATTTATTTCACTGTTCCTTGTTTTTAGTTGCTGTACTATCCAAAATTTCAATCTTGCCTTTTCTGCCTTCTGAATGAAGAATTTTAATGTTATCTATGTCATCTACACCCTCAGACTCTGAACTGTCTCCAAACTGGCCCGGGAGCTCTTCTGAACTATCCTCTTTTTTTGAATCTGCCTGATTCGGATCAAATAAGATTTCAGCCATTTGCGTAACTTTCAACATTAAATAGCTTTCAGCATAACTTTCAACATTAAATAATTTTCAATACTGAAGTGGCCAGGAGGAGTGGCTTCCATTTGCATAACTTTCAATATTAAATATTGAAATATTAAATATTTAAAAATCGGAAAATATTTTTTCTTGAGAAAATAGTAAAAATGACAGTTTTCCAGGTTAGCCCAATAAGCCCATTTAAATCAAACAGAAGCTGAATTACAGATCCATAAATATGGCTTGAGTTCTGAGATCTAGAAGAAACATTAGCTTCATTTACTAAGACATTCATGTTTTTCTTAAAATCAAATTGTATGAGGTAAAATTGCTATTAATCCTTCCCTCTCACTCTTTATTTCTAGCTGATTGTTCAGTTACTATATCTGATGGAGACCACTATGAAGCAGCTCTAAGAATGATTTAATATTAACCAATTGGCTTTTCATGTTTACT